AGCCAAGATATGGAAGCAACCTAAATGTCCATCAGTAGATGAATGGATAAAGATGTGGTACATATACACAATGGAATATTATGCAGCCATAAGAAAAAAACAGATCCTACCATTCGCAACAACATGGATGGAGCTAGAGGGTATTATGCTCAGTGAAATAAGCCAAGTGGAGAAGGACAAGTACCAAATGATTTCACTCATATGTGGAGTATAAGAACAAAGAAAAACTGAAGGAACAAAACAGCAGCAGAATCACAGAACCCAAGAATGGACTAATAGTTACCAAAGGGAAAGGGACTGGGGACGATGGGTGGGAATGGAGGGATAAGGGCGGGGAAAAAGAAAGAGGGCATTACGATTAGCATGTATAGTGCATTGGGGGCACGGGGAGGGCTGCGCAACACAGAGAAGACAAGTAGTGATTTTACAGCATCTTACTTCGCAGATGGACAGTGACTGTGAAGGGGTATGTGGGGGGGACTATCTCAGGCCTATGGACTTCAGAGACTGGGGCTAAAGCCCAGCCACTGGTACTTAATAATAAGCCCATCCCCACTACCCCAGGTGACCAAAGCACTCTCAGGTCTGAGAAAGCAAAGGCATAGATAGACTAACCGACTAACCTTCCACAATGCTTGGAATGCCCCTGCTAAAAGCTTTAGCTTCTTACTGCACTTTGCAATACCAAAGCTCAGTATTTTTTCATGTATTGTCTCTCCAACTGGACTATAAAGAATCATATCTTCACCTTTTATCTTATCACATGACCCAGCATGGCTCTAGTCATGTTTCAAAGTTTGCAATAACTTCACTACGTATATAGCTTCATTCACTTTGCTATTTTGAAATAGCTCCATAAAAACTTACATGCTTTTTTCCCAGGAAGATAACTATTTTATGAAAGCAGTCTTAACACAGATAGGAAAACTAAATATGTTTGGCCTGAGCCAATTCTCTCAAAACTGATGTTTTAGGGTCTCATCCTGGGAAAATGTAGATGAAGATGATAGTGGGCTCAACAATAGTCACCTAAGATGTCCATGTCACGATCCCTCTGAATACGTTACTTTATGTGACAAAAGGGAATGTGGTATGTGATTCAGGACTTGAGACTATTCTGGGCATCCTGGTGGGCAAGTGACATCACTATAAGGTCATTGTGAGAGGGAGCAAAGGGAGTAAGAGTGAAGGGAGAGGACGATATGCGACAGGCAGAGACTTGACACTGCACGTTTGGCTCTGAAGATGATGGAAGGGGCAAAGAGCCAAACAAAGCAAGAAACACAGCTCCGAGACCCGAAAGGGCAAGGAGACTCTCACCACAGCCCTCAGGAGCTAGCCCTGCCCAGCGCCTTGACTTTACCCTAGTGAAATGTTTTGGATTTCTGTCCTCCATAACTGTAAGAGAATTAATTTGTGATATTTTAAGCCACTAGGTTTGTGATAATTTGTTACAGCAGCAATAGGAAACTAATACAAAGCTCTGGACAAGTTTTTATTGTGAAATATTGGATTTAGAAAAAAGTACAAAATGTCAAGTCAGATGTTTACAAGTACAGTATTTCAATAGTTTATACATGTGAACAGCTTAACAGGTTCACGGCAGAATGTATTTAGACCATACCATCTAAAAAGGACTGCAATATTCACAGGCTATTGATACATAAATAACTTGAGCCAAAATGACCCTCACTGGTCTAGTAGCTGAAAACAGGCTAAAAAGCACAATACAGCACACCATGGTATCTCCTTACAGGTCCACATTTAAAGAATATCAGCTTATTATGTCAACATACTACAGATCCAGGACTGGGACTCAATTACTAGTTTATACAATTGCAAAAAAAAAAAATCAGTTATAAAATAAGGTCATGGAATAAAAAAGATATTTAATTAGGACTATGTACTGTGAAACCCCTAAATGGTTTAGCCTTGGAATTTACAAAGCTTAATTATTTAGACTGACTTTCAAGTTTTACTCTGTTACCTAAAAGGGGGGGAAGGGGCACCTTTCTGTTGTAGCAGCTCCAACAAGGTGTTAAGAATCAGTATTACAGTTTATTTTAAAACCATAATGACCACTGTGGATTGACAAATGGCTGTGAAACCAGAATATAAAACATTATAAATTTTAAAGGAAGTAATGACTACCTTATGAATTTAGCAAATCCTGCAAACATTAAAATCTGTGTTAAAAAGGCAGTATCTATCATTCCTGGTACTAAATTTAGGAAAATTATTACATGAAGATCTCATAAAAATAAACTGATTTAATTTTTCCAAGTCTGACTGATCCAATCTTTTGCCATCACTTCAAAAATTGCCCTAGATTATGTTTCAAATTGGACAAATTATTTGTATCACTTTATAATGAGTAACTTTAGGAATAATCTATTGTAACATGAGTCATGTTAAAAATAATTATTATAATCATCCTGTGGTCTGAGGAAAGACAGTCTTTGATGACATTCATAATCAATACCTGTTTAAAAACAAAATCTTTAAAACTGATAAACTTAATAGTTTTCTCAAAAAAATTTTATCCCTGCCCATAAATTCAAAAGAGAAGGAACTTCTGCTGCTCTATAAGGTATTATGGAGCAATGCCTGAGGCTTTAAAATTGAACTGAAAAGTCTGAACTGGCATTTAGTAAGTAGATCAATTCTATTACAGGCTGGAACCACTGGATCAAAATATAATTAGTTAATAACTTTACATAACCTATCTCATCCTACCTTAACCTTTTATAGATAATTTTAAAGACTCTGATATAATTTTCTTATAAATAGTGCCTGAATCTTAGATTCCAATTTATTCAAAGATAATCACATACTGATTTAAAAGTTATTTAATTTTTTCCAGATTTACTTTAAACTTACAAATTAAAAGTATGGTGTACATAAATATTAACTTAGATAACCACATATTATAGGGAAAGCAGATATATGGACCACTGCAGAAAAAGTATAAATTTTTTAAAAATTTTTTAAAAGAAAAATAAAGCAAATACATAACTCACAAAATATGAACATGAAGCTGTAGGACATAAAAAATAAAATTATCAGAAGTGATTCCAAATTAAATCTTTGGGGAAGTATTTTCACATAATTCAATGAATTCAACGATCAAGAGCTTCCCACATCACACAGAAACAAACCACAAAATCAACTGAAGTCTGTATGCATTATCAGTTCTTAATGCAACCTCAAACATTTTAGCAACTTTGATTTCCTTTTGAAATAGGCTTCTGTACATATGCATTTATATACAAACATTTATTAAACATGATTTTAAAACAAACCGTATGTACAAAAGATCAGCATTCCTATAAATAAAAACATTAGGTGGCAAAAAGGCACTTGTAAGTAAAAATCTACAGTTTTTACAAAACAAAACACATTTTAACTTGGATACTGTACAATAAAAACATTAATTCCTATACCAATAATGAAAATACTAGTTTACTAATGTTAATGATGTAACTTTTAAAAACATATTTACATATACTCTGAAATTCGTTTAATAAAAGCACCATGATTCTTTTCTAAATTCACGTTGATGCAAAGTAAAAACACAATTACTAAAAAACCAGTGTTCACCATTTTCATTGTTTAAAAGCTTTTGTATTTATTTCTAAATTGAAGGTTATCTGAAAGTAGCAGAGTGTAAAACAAAAAACAAAACGAACCAAAAGCCCTGTAACTTTGACTTCTTAAAACCATACCACTCCTATTATTGCATGTTTCGTTTTAGGAAGGGCACTACTCATGCGCTCCTTTACAACTGTTTAATACTATTGCTGGCAAAAAGTTCCTGGGTATCAAATAATTAAAAAGTTACTTCAAACCAGTTGAAGTTTTATCTGAATGTTTTACAACTTAAAAAATGCTGTATATCAGTTACAAAAGTGAATAGAAACACGCCAATTCACTTGGTGTGCAAAAATATTTTTCCACTACACAGAATTTAAGGGCTTTACAGAATCTTTTTTTTTCAAATTTACATTTTCAGCAGAAACACTAAATGAATAACTACTTTCTCAAGGGGATGTCAGTATGCTTCCGCTTTTGTCAAACTTTTTACCCTTTGACAAGGCTGCAACCTGTTTGAGTAGTTCTCTGTTTTTGGCCTGTGGGAGACAAAAACATTTACGATTAAAAATGTTTAAAATATTAAGTCATGCTGAAGAGCACTACTTATTTAATGCTATTCTTTTCACTTACAGAACAAGACTTAATTGAAACACAGAAAGATAACTCAAAGAGTTGGTATATTTATGTTCCTTTCTTTAACACTGGACATGTAGAAGAAAAATCCTAGATTGGTTTCTATAGACTGGCCCTCTTTGTAAATGTCAACATTAATATAATTGTTGCCATGGATATAAGTGGTTACAAAAAAGGCAACTTTAAGTGAATCCACTTAAAGAGAGTCAAAATTTTTATAAGAAAAAAAATGTTTGTCTCTTTATCTTAAAAACAAGAAATGAAAACTATGAAATTAAGTTTTATAATTAATAAGATCAAATGACTCAAGTGATGATTTGGGAGGAGTTTTTCCCAACAAACTGTGTAAAGTTTTTCACTTGATGTTTCCCTCTTTAAAAAACAAGAATAGCAAGAGGTCCTCTTTGCAAAAAAATTTAGACTTTATCACTTTGCCAAAGGGACTCCTTAAAGTTTAATGATACTCAAATATTTTTTTCGAAACGCCCATCAGAACTGCCCTTTCTGATCTTATTTTTGTTCTTTTAACTGCCATACACTCATTTGGTATTGGCTTTGATGTAATTTAAGCAGTCACACATTATCCCTATTTTCAGTTTCATGAAAGGCTGAATTTTTTTTTCAAAGATTTAGAATTTCCCCTTGCTATCAATCTGAACTAAACTTCCACTTCATTCAAATGTTCCATTCACCACTGACAAAGACATTGCCCTTGAGCCAGTGCCCTAAGAAAAGCACTAGTGTTCAGTGAGGAGGAATGTGCAAGTGGGACCACTCAATGAATATTTTCATATTTTGATTGCTTTTGTCTCTTTATGCAATCTTTTAACTGTGGAAACACAGATAATAAGGACTGTCCATATACACAGATACATTCATGATCAAACAGTTTTGGAGTTTTGTCAAATGAGGTGTCCACAACAGTTTGGAACCTGAGTGCTGCTCTAAAAATAACAAACTTTTAAAAGATAGCATTTGATTTATGTTTGAAAACCATTTTGCTTCACAGGTCTATTTTTTCTTACCCAGATAGACATTTTAGCCTCAGTGCTTCACCTACTCTAGTTTTAGCCTTTGTATGGCAAGGTAACATAACACCCTGCTTACACTGCCTGATGTCTTAAAGCAGCTCCATGAAATATAAACTTTTTTCCAGGCTTTGTACTTCCACTCCCCGACCCTTCCCTTATAAACTCTCCATAAGTACTTATGACCTCCAAAATGCAAATATTCCTAGGACTATCTTATATTTGCACATCATTTATGTTTGCATGATTAACAGGCATTTCTCTATTCAACAGATATTTAATAATTAAGGGTAATTAAGAATTTCAATTCCAAACTGAATTTCAATTTCAAATTAGAAAATTATCAAGAATTTAAAAGGATTTATTTTCTCATTAAAACTAAACAGAACTCAAAGGACAAATCAATGAGAATGCCAGGTAGTAGAAGTCAAGTGAGAACACTCATGATCAATTAGTCTATTTCTCAAGTTGACCAGTCCTAGTCAATATGGTAGTTTTAAATTGCTTTCTTTTTATGGTTAGCTGCATATTACTTAATTTATAATTATAACAGATTCACTGCCCACAAGTAGCAATCTTAAGAGAAATTTAACATAAATTAATGAGGGTATTAAAAAAAGGCATGTCTGCAAATTTGCCTCAGAGACTCTCCATCAGATCTGTCAGTTGCATTTATACAAAAGGGCTTGTACTATAACACACCAATCATTAAAAAGATAATTAAAAAATTAACAAAACTAATGATTTGTTTTATTTGCTAATCATTAAAGTTAATCCTCATATATTCTCAGTCATCAAGAAATAAATTCAATAAGTTTATAATTTTCATATACTAAATATGAAATATAAGAACTGAAACGTTTAGGTAATGAAAGTAGTTTTCCTCTTAATTCTTTAGCAGCTAATTTTCAACCTGTATTTATATACTCAGTCTCCTAATCACCCCACTAATAAATTCTTTAGCTGATAAAATATGTAAGAAAAAAAGTCTTTAAGAAAAATTAACAGTGCATCATTTGTTAAATGGAAACAAGTCCAAATTTGTCTTACTCTAATGTAGGTATAGTAAGAATATACTTCATAATACAATATTTAAATATATATGCATTTACATTTTTTAATACTAATACTTTTTTATTATGCACCCTGCAAAAATCAATTAAACTATTTAAAAATTCTTAAGCAAGTTAAAAATGTTAAGAAATGCTGGCCTAAAAGAAAAGAGTATCTGGATTAAGAATCACACAGATCCTGCTTCAAATCCTCACTCTGCTACTTATCTGCTACGCAACCTGGAGTCTAGTTTCTGATATGTACAACAGGAATTTTACAACCCACCAGAAAAGGAGTTGAAGGAACTAATCAAACATATCAAACAGCCTAACACAGTGGCTGGTACACAGTAGGCACTCAAACATTAGTTCCCTTCCCCTTTTATCAACTCTAAATGGAAGATGATTTTTTAACTCAGTATTTTTAAAATTTTAGAAAATTAGGGGTTTGGTGGGGTTTTGTTGGGTTTTTTTTTTTTTTTTTTGGTATTTTGCACAATTTTTTCTTGTGATGCTCAGTGCTTATTCCTCAGATGTAACAGTTTAAAATGTTTTGAGAGCTACTGAGCAAGGTAAACTTTCTGTTACAAAGTTGTTTGGTATCACAAAAAGACAAGAAAAATAGTTAACTATATTTCTTCACTTAGGTAGAGAACCTGCTAGTACATGGTTGCTAATGGGAATGCAGCTAAGACAGTACTTAACTGTGACAGATTGGCTCCAGAAAAAACAGACAATATGAGGAAGTGGTCTGATAACAAGGATGAAATATAAAACCTGAGTAACCTGTGGTGATAAGAGCAAAGGGGAAAGAGTAGTTATAGCTGAGTCAGAAGATATACGTCCCTCCTGATTAGGTGAACACATGTTCATCTGTACCATGGGAATACTATATAACTCAAAGTGAATGTAAGCAGTAAGACAGCCTATGTAAAACCATGTTGGAAATGCGTACTTATAAATATGTTAGTTACTATTCTACTACATGAAACTTCAGATACCAACCAAAAGGAGTAGTCCTAAGATACCAATCAGGCTAAGAGTCAAAAAAGAGGTTCCCCCCGTGCTCGCAACTACAAAATAAAACAAACTGCACTTTTGAATGGTAAGAAGTACTAAGTTTTATATTTATGTATTGCTCACATTTTTCCTGTTACCTCATTCTGGATTTACTCCAGAGTTTTGGGTATATTACATGCAGCAGGTAGTCATTCAGAATTACTGAATGATAAAAATAAAAATATCATAAAACTAATAATTGCTGGTGAACAATAACATCCAAGCCCAATATATGATATGAGCAATCTCTCAGGACAGAGGGTAGATGGGCATGTCCATAAGTCACCATTTATTCAACAAATTACTTGAGTGCGTACTATATGCCAGGCTCTGTTCAAGGATTCTCTTCACAATTCCCTGTAAAAGTAAGATTAGCATTAAGATTAGGCAACCTGTATGTCAAACTTCAACGGGTTCCTAAATCCACTTTCCAATCTCACTGAATTTAAGCTACTTTCAAAGGAGTATGCAAAATATGTAACAAAAGTTAGGAATAGCAAATATCCCTTGGTGTTACAAGTTAAGATCCTGTTAGCCAAAAATATATTCTACAAATGTCAGAATGTATAAATCAACAGAACATGTAGTTAATTTAGTATGGTCTGATTTCTAAATTTGTGAAACTTTGGTGAGAAAAGGCTTAATTAAGGGAATAATCTGTATTCCTGCATATGCTCTCTATCTCTGCAAGTCCAACATCATATACCAGCACCTTTGTGCCTATGGTGACTCCTGACTTCGCCATTCAGTTGTTCTGTATATTGAAGTCCTACTGAGTATTCTTTACAGCACTCTAAGATTGACCTAGATAGCTAGAGGCTCCCTGCTGTGATATACAGGAGACCCCTACTTGGCACCTTGAATATCACAGTACAAAGGTCAAAGTGTATTCTTGTCTTGTATCAATGCATACAGCATAAAATTCCTCCACTACGAGGTCCCTGAGAACTAGATTTGTACACTCTCTTCCCTTCCCACTATCTGGGAGGAAACAGGAAGAATGATTGCACAACATACTCAAGACCTTATTTTCACCTCACTTTCATGAATCTGATTTTTAATTTTTTTGCTTTTCATCCAATGATCAATTGAACATACTCCAACGATATGCTCCTCTGAAAATAGCACCTGAAGTTTAGGCAAAAGATGTCAGAATTACTAAATAGAATCCCCTATCAAGTTATTTCGAGCAATAACTTTTAATGGGAGAATTAAAAACTATTATAAAGTCAAAATTCAAACTGAAAATGGACCAAATACACATAAAACAGGTATCCAATACCAGTCTAAGACAATTAATACTATCAACCAAGTTAAGCCCTCCTTGCATAACAGTTTATATAAATGTTATTTACCTGAAGTTGTTCCACAGTTTCTTTATGAGCTTTTTCCATACTGTTCATCTTTGTTCTCAAGTTTGACTCTTGATACTGAAAGTCTGCCTTCAGTTCAGTTAACTGAGAGATTTAAAAAAAAGGTATATGTGTATGTGTTTGTGCATGTACAATTTTACGCACATACACAAACATCATTTTAAATATTCTTCACAATAAATTCACAGTTCATTATAGAAGTGGGAGGTGATAACCGGTTTCTGGGGTATTATAACATTTAGAATTTGTTTTTTGAAATGATAGTATAAAATTATACTGTCCTGAGTAAACCTGAGAAATTGCCTTTTTTTGTTTCTTTTTAAAGATGGTTTCACTGAACACAGTTTGGCAACTGGCAGACCAACAGTAAAGCTTAATGGCTAATACTTGGGAAATGCTTCAATAAAAATGTACTTTACATTATAGATAAACAATGTGAACATTAAGACTGCCTTCAGGTCAAAATAATCTTTCAATGACAAAAGAAAGTTTCACACTGGGCAAGTACAAGGAAGGTCTTATCAACGAAGAAATATGCTGCATTACTTTAAAATCTATGTCCAAAACTATGTATCCAATACCACCCAAGGTGTGAGGTAAGAAATGGAGTACAAAGCACAGATATACAACTAACATGGAATGAGAAGGAAAGGGAATTATTTGGATATTTTGGCTAGACTTAGAAAAATTTACCTGGTTTGAAGAAGCAAAGGCAGCTGCATGACAATTTTTTCATAAATACCAATGACATTTATCAAGATACAAAGTCTCATGACTTCATACTAAAAATTAAGTTGGTATTATACAATTCCATTATCGGAACCATGTGAAGAAAGCTTCCGGTTATTTTTAAATGTTTTTCATTTTGCAAGTTTTAAAGGTTTGCACTACCTTTTGGTAGCTACCTAGTAGCTATTAAACTGAATGATGTACCACAGCAGAAAAGAGGAACAAAGGACGTCATGGTGTCTTATATTCTTATTTTCTGAGTAAAAGCCCTTGTCAAATTCAAAGAGTAACTGAATTCTGTTTTCTATATTACAAAGGAATTCCTGTTCTGAAATGCCAATTCATATCAAATCGGCTAAGATTCTTATCACTCCACTGTAAACTGCCTTCAGATAATGAATTTCTAGAAGGATCACATTTTATTTATTCATCTTTGTATTCTCACAATCTAGTATGTGGCTGGCTCTAGACACCGAATAAAGTGAAATAAATTCACAAAAATAACTGAGTTGACTTAGATTTACATTATAAAGAAAACTTACAAATACGTAGCTATTTTAGGCTTACAACTATTGTTTTCCTTACAACACTAATTTCCATACCCATTAGTGTTTTTTTCGGAAAAAGGAACACTAACAAAAGCAGAAAACTTTCAACTAACTGCACTAACACAGAATAGGAAAAAAATAATCTAGTGAAGTCAAAATTCCACAATTCTATACTGCTTGGTTTTGGAATTATTGTTATTTTTTAGTAAGTTAGCATTCACTCAACTTTGAACTAGGTTTATTCTGATATACCTGCCTTTGTGCAATAGAAATGTCTAAATTTTTGTACATAAAATTTCCATAAAAGTTCATTTAAAAAATTCTGTTAATAAAAGATATCCATAAAAAGTATGACAGAAGTATCCTATTTTTACCTTATGTTAACCCTCAACTTCACATATTGAATTTGCTTCAACTAAGGTACAAATGTACCTTCAATTTAAACTTAAAAATAAATTTAAATCTATTAACCATCAAGGTACAGGAAAATGGAACATAGGTGTTCAATGCCAGAAGTGAGAGCTGGCTGAGTCTCAAGGAGGACTATGAATACTGATAGGTGATTCATATACATATTTATGTATTGTTCATGATTTTAATAAAAGTAATATTTTTAATGCTTTCCTATTGCTTTATGCAGTGTTTTAAACAGGTCAAACTAGAGAATCCAGGACATGAAAAGTACAAAGGTCAGTTCTCCCCTCAAAAATGACCAAACATCAGTAATGGCAGCTATGAGCACTTACACATCAGGAGCTACAGTACTTTACATTTTCATCTAATCACAGCAATCATCCTATTCAGTGGCATTAATACCATCATCTTTTAAGTGAGAAAACTGAAGTCCAAAGAGGTGAAAAGCATTCTGTTCAAGTTCGTAAAGTGTTAAAGCTTTGATATTCCTTGGTTTAAATGATGAAATCCCAATTAAGTATATTTATTTCCTACAAAGTGATTTTAGATAAGACACCTACTGCTAATCACTGACTACCACACAGAAAATTCCCATAGCATTACTTTTTGCCAGTTACTTGACCTGGACTGAAATAAACGCAGTTGGTAAGTCAATGACGATATTCAATTACTTCCTCAAATCACAAGAATTCACATAATATTCTACTTAGATCTTATTTTCAAATTAAGGCACTAGGCCTATTTTTAAATGACAGGCTTTCTGAAAACTAATATTCAGAAATTATTACAATTTTAATTAGTTCTCAATTAATTTTTAGAACCAAAATTCTGAAAGACTATTTTTCCTATCTTCTTTAGATGGGTCAGATTCCAATTTGGGTTTTATAATGTCTTATAAGAATTACACACAACAAAAATTACTAATTTATTAAAGAAAGGCCAATAAAATTTGCAAATATCAAGTAAGAGTCCAGACGTAAATCTTACCAGGCTTCAGTGAACCATGTTCTTACCTTTTTATCTTTTTCTAAAATGGTCTGATCTCTCTGTTGTAAAAGACGTTTAAGTGACATCACTTCTTCTTTCAGTTGACTTATAAGGACAAAATTGTCTGTTCCCCCACTATCTGCTGACTGATTTATAGAGCTACTAAAAAGAAAAGAACAAAACACAGTTAAATGAAACAGAAGGAAAATTAGCAGGTGCTCAAATTGCATAAATTAGACAATTCCACAAACATCCTTAAGGCTAATGCAAAAAAATATGTACCTGACAGAAATGGATGCAACTGGCAAATTACCTTACTAATGGCACACATTACATACACCTGCAGAAATATAATTCAGTATTAGCTTTTAGGGGGTCAATACTTCTAGTGTAAAGCAATAGGCAGCCAATTTGTACAGTAACATCAGCAAACTTTTGGCTAATGAACTAAAACAAAGTCACGCTCATAATACTTTAAATCTAAAAACATTTTCCAAGCAGGTCAATTTAAAGCATCACAATTAGATTTGTGTTTTACTGATGAATAATTAAAATAGAATGTTCTCTGTTCAGATGTTTTCCTTTTTCAAAACCCTTATTTATTCCCAAACAGAACAACATAGTTCAGTGCCACTTTCTTATTGCTAAAATTAAGTTAAAAATTTACTGATTATATTTACTTTTCTAGGTAACTCAAAGAAGTCAATGTAGAAGATACATGTTTTCATTTTTTACCTAGTAATAATTGCAATCAACCACAACTGCTCAACTAAATTGAATCTTCACAGCACTAAAAGAATTCATTTTTACCTATCTCCATTAGATGGCTTAGATTCCAATTTGGGCTTTTTCTTTGGAGTTTCATTCTGAATTGCTGCAGAGGATTTATGGCTGAAACCAAACAATAATAAGAATAATTAGAGTAAAAAGGGAAGAGGCACCAAGTGACAAGTTCTTCTTCTCCTTAAGTATGACCGATCATCATTGATTTTTTTTTTATAGCCTAAGTAACAAAGTTAAAGAGAAGTCACATTTTAAAAAATGCATTTTAAAATACTTCAAAAAATGTGTTAACATATTTACCTTCAATTAATTTTTAGAACCAAAATTCTGAAAGACTATTTTTCCTATCTTCTTTAGATGGGTCAGATTCCAATTTGGGTTTTATAATGTCTTATAAGAATTACACACAACAAAAATTACTAATTTATTAAAGAAAGGCCAATAAAATTTGCAAATATCAAGTAAGAGTCCAGACGTAAATCTTACCAGGCTTCAGTGAACCATGTTCTTACCTTTTTATCTTTTTCTAAAATGGTCTGATCTCTCTGTTGTAAAAGACGTTTAAGTGACATCACTTCTTCTTTCAGTTGACTTATAAGGACAAAATTGTCTGTTCCCCCACTATCTGCTGACTGATTTATAGAGCTACTAAAAAGAAAAGAACAAAACACAGTTAAATGAAACAGAAGGAAAATTAGCAGGTGCTCAAATTGCATAAATTAGACAATTCCACAAACATCCTTAAGGCTAATGCAAAAAAATATGTACCTGACAGAAATGGATGCAACTGGCAAATTACCTTACTAATGGCACACATTACATACACCTGCAGAAATATAATTCAGTATTAGCTTTTAGGGGGTCAATACTTCTAGTGTAAAGCAATAGGCAGCCAATTTGTACAGTAACATCAGCAAACTTTTGGCTAATGAACTAAAACAAAGTCACGCTCATAATACTTTAAATCTAAAAACATTTTCCAAGCAGGTCAATTTAAAGCATCACAATTAGATTTGTGTTTTACTGATGAATAATTAAAATAGAATGTTCTCTGTTCAGATGTTTTCCTTTTTCAAAACCCTTATTTATTCCCAAACAGAACAACATAGTTCAGTGCCACTTTCTTATTGCTAAAATTAAGTTAAAAATTTACTGATTATATTTACTTTTCTAGGTAACTCAAAGAAGTCAATGTAGAAGATACATGTTTTCATTTTTTACCTAGTAATAATTGCAATCAACCACAACTGCTCAACTAAATTGAATCTTCACAGCACTAAAAGAATTCATTTTTACCTATCTCCATTAGATGGCTTAGATTCCAATTTGGGCTTTTTCTTTGGAGTTTCATTCTGAATTGCTGCAGAGGATTTATGGCTGAAACCAAACAATAATAAGAATAATTAGAGTAAAAAGGGAAGAGGCACCAAGTGACAAGTTCTTCTTCTCCTTAAGTATGACCGATCATCATTGATTTTTTTTTTATAGCCTAAGTAACAAAGTTAAAGAGAAGTCACATTTTAAAAAATGCATTTTAAAATACTTCAAAAAATGTGTTAACATATTTACCTCTGTTTCCACAGTCCCTGCTCTTGTTCTGGACTCAGACTGCTGATTCTGAAAAATATATAAATGACATCTAATAACATTTATTTAATACATCTACATTTAACGGCATTCTTCCTAATGGAATCAAATTATTTATGTTTTTCATCTTTCAGAGAAAGGCATATTCAATTAAATTTTCAGACTAAGCTAATATATATATTGACTAAATCATATTCTATTGAGATAAATTCTAATCAAATGACTACTAACCATCTTAATTTTCTTAAGAAAGGTATGATGATAGGGACTGAATTTTCTATTTTAACCAGGGCTTCCACAAGTCAATTTAATATTGTCCTAAGGGCTAAAGTATATGAGCATGAAAACCACCAAAATAAGGTTCTATAGTTATAAAGTCTGAGAATCATCGTACTTAAGCTGTCTTTACAATTTCAAACAGAAAATGTATCTTTAAAGTTATGGCTTTCCTAATTATCCTATTTGGAAATGCTTCCTTCCGAGCAGCTCAAGTTACTCAGAATAGTGTGTCAAGTTAAATCAGGAAATGGCTTGTTTCTTTTCTCATTTTTCTAAGAACCACCTCCAAAGTCTCTAGATCTTTCTCTAGTCAGTACTCTGGAGAAGTCACGCTGAAAATCTTGGGAATTTCATAGTAACAACTAATTTTGCTCTTAGAGTACTATAGTACTACTTCTTTTCAATTACATGCCACAATACTAAAAACCACTTTATAATTCACTATGAATCCTACATACCACTTTTCTCCTATACTTGAACACTGGCCAGTTCTTTACTACCCCATAGTTTATCAACTCAACATGTATAAAGCACCTCCTATGCACCAGACACTATGTACTTACGTACAATATAAGTGATATTAGAAGACCTGGGCCTTTTGCCAGATACTTAAAATCCCTAAGACTCAGTCCTCATCTGTAAAAATGGGTACAATGCATACCTATAGGCATATGAGGATTTAAATGAGTTATGAATATAAAAGCACTAGTACAATACCAGCATATACATAATATACAGAAATACGCACGTTAGTGTCTGTGTATAAAATTTATCATTCTTTAGCTGTAAAGTATTTTAAGTGAAAGTTAAAAACAGAGTATGTTCTCATGAATCAGCTATAAATAAATACCAAGTTGGGAAAACAATTCTGTATATACATAATATACAGAAATACGCACGTTAGTGTCTGTGTATAAAATTTATCATTCTTTAGCTGTAAAGTATTTTAAGTGAAAGTTAAAAACAGAGTATGTTCTCATGAATCAGCTATAAATAAATACCAAGTTGGGAAAACAATTCTGTAGTTCTATGATCCTGAGTTAATTCTTTACTTGAGGCAATAAATGGCAACCTACGGAGGAATTTGGTTGCCATTTTCTCCCTTTATGAATTTATTATAAGCATTAGCAAGCCACATAATCACACATGAATAGCAATATCCAGAACAGTCACATCAGTAATGATTTAACAGAAACGCTTGGAATTCTCGTCTTGCTTTCCGAGATGGGCCACTCCTAGATTCAGAATGTCCTGCGTTCCTTCCCTCCCCATCTTCCCATCACTATGTATGACAGTATATATGCCCCTTATAATTGTTCTAATCTACTTAACTTGAGATAGTACCCACACACCAGGCTGCCTACTTGTCAAATGATCTATATCTACCAAATATAAAACAGTATTTGTATTTAAGTAATCAGAAGGGGAAAAGTAAATGTTAACATCCTCTGTCCCTTTACTTTTGAAACCTGTATTCTCTCAAAAGACTAAGTTACTGTCACAGAATTTAATCTTTATAAATATCCTAAGTGTGTCCTTTCACTTCATGCTAAGACAAATTTATCTATAAAGGACAGGGGGAAGGGACATTTCAGCTGAGTCTTAACAGTAGGTCTGATAAATAACATTATGGTAGTTATTTTGTCATATTTTCTCTTAAACAAGGAAGATTTATGTTTTGTTCCTTTGGATATGAAGGCCACAGGATTTCTTCAAAATTACCAGATTAGAAGTCACTATAGTCACTATGTAGTCTACCACTGTTACATCCAGAAAGCACTACAACACCAGAAAGCAACTGGAAAAATTGCTACTTAAGTCAACAATATCAATGCCTTAATAAAAACTAATAATCTTGTGCATGCCTACAATTTAGAGTCAAATCTTATTAATTACACAGACTATGTTATATTCCAAAGATACCATTATGTGGTCCTAAATGTGATAGGCATCAGTTTTATATAAATGAAATTATGTTTTTACTATCTGCAACATTAAAGACTCAGAGAAATCTGGGGGAAAATAACTGAATTTTTCTGAAAATCAGTGTGTATCATGTCTCTTTTCTCCCTTTTGTGTTTTAATATTCTTGATTTTTCCATTAAGACTAAAACCACATTTAAGAAAACCTCCCCCACAAGGCACTTTAAAAATCAAGTCATTGTTTATATTTGAATAAAGTTTCTATGTGTTTTTAGAAAACAGCAAAGTACCAAGAGTTAAAAAGAGTATTTCTCACACTTTTGGAACCTTCAAGATCTAAAATGCCCCCAACATGATCACAAGTGGTAATGTCATAATCTGTTCTTCAGAAATACTGCATGGGCATTTCCTAGTAACTGGTTTAAATTTGTTGTAACTAAAACAAATTAATGATAACTCAGGTAAATATAATTTTAAAAGTAAAAACCCTAATAATTATTTTAAAAAAAAGGATAGTGAGGCTTTTGATTACATAAATCAACAACTTATTAGTTAACTCTGAGGTACTTGTATTTTGATTTCATGATATGATCATAATTTTACATAGTTGCCTAAATGTCCTATCTTTACTATTACGGTAAACAGATAAACACACTCCATGAGTATAATTTTATACACTGAATAAAGTGGGAAAACAGCCTTAGACATTCAGGAAGCTTACCTTGTGCAATGGAAACCAGTCTAACACATAGTATTTGCAAAAAGTTAAAACAACATATGGCACTAAAATGCCAGGGAAGATTTTAGAAAACATGATTTTGAAGTACTTACTTGTGATGACTACTGCTGTGGCGATGGTGATGGTGGTGGTGGTGGTGGTGGTGTTTTGAATGATGCTGGTCTTTCTCAGTAAGAGATGAAGAAGATGAGTTTGAATGTGAAGATCCCAGGCTCTTCCTTTGGTCTTTGGTCTTCTGTAAAACCCTCTTGTATGACAAAGTGCAGAGCCAGCATAACAACTTTCCATCAACCTTTATTAAGAAAATGTTTGTATTAGATTAAATGTACCCGTAAACTGGCTGTAAGATACTCTAATCAGATAAACTGTTCAATTTCTAGCTATTTTCTCTCACACACTCACACTCATACACTCAAACACACAGATTCTTGTAAAATGAAAGTAAAATTAGACTTTTCTGAAACTTGGGAAAATGCTTGTTTGGAGGATCATGAAACTAATGAGAAAGACATGGACTTCTAGTTTTGAGGCACTTTTAATTTGGAGAAAGTTATTTTATTACTAAAAAATAAGTATAAATTGATGATATACTTCAAAGAAATCTTATGATTGATTCATGAGCCTGAATTCTTAAATTACTGTCTAATTACTAAAATGACAAAGTATTTTCCAACATAGTAAAAACTACCAATCTATTAAAAAAAGGAGAGCTTGAATGACATATACAGTTGATTTTCACTATTCACAGGTTTCATATTTACAAATTTACTACCTACTTGGTAAAATTTTTTTGTAACCCAAAAATCAACTTGCAGCACTTCCATGATCATTCACCAACCAGCACAGAGCAGCAAAATATTTGCAAAGCCAGGCAACTAATGTTCTCAGCCGAGGTCACCCAAGTGGTGCTCTGCTGCCTTCTTCTTTCAGCTCTCATCCTGTAAACAAGCGTCCTTTTCAGTCTATTTAGTGCCATACTTTTTGCACTGTGTGCTTTTTTTTGGTGATTTCACTGTTTGAAACGGTTCCCAAATGTAGTGTGCTGAAGTGATGTATATAGTGAGTGTTCCTAAGAGCAAGAAGACTGTGATGTACCTTATGTAGAAAATTCATGTATTAGATAAGAGTTCAGGCAGTTTTGGTGCTGCTTGCCATTGGTTCAATTTAATTAATCAACAATATATATTAAGTAAGGTGTTTTTAAACAGAAACACATATAAAGCAAAACAAGATCATGTATTGATCAGGTGATCACCATGTCGTGACCAGAGGCAGGAACCTAATCCTGTACTGCCACTGGGAGCAGTGGTTCCGTTTCATTGATCTGTGCTCAAAGCAACTTTACCATGAGTAACAAAAATCAACTGTATGTTTGTGAAAGCAGAGGAAAAGAGACTTCTTCCTAACATTAAGGCTAAACCTCTAAAAATAAAGTTTCTGTCTTCTACTTGTTCACACAGGAAGTGCTGGAGGGACATGCCTTACAACTATGGTATGTATATTTCTGTGGGGGTTCCTGGGAGATAACCCTCAAAGAGACCGTCATCCTCTAATCAACTGAAACTGATAGACAACAGTAGGTCCGTGTGAATACTGATCAGCAGAGGAATGCCACAGGCAGACATATACTTTTTAAATCACAACAGGTAAAGAAAAACACATAGTGGTTTAAAATATGAGCCCTAAATTAAAAGGAAAAGACTACTAACTTTGAATTTTATGTGCTAATGTGCCATCAGGTATTTTTTCACACCAGCAACTTCATGTAACCAGCAAACGGTAACTGGCTGAAAGGATTTAAAAGCAATAATTCTCACAAACCAAATGTTGGATAATCAAAAATTACAGAATAACCATCACAGAGTATTTTTTTTTGATATAATAATCTCAACTGATCAACATGAATCTACATATGATGCACTCAAGGAAAAGATGCACTGTTTGAGCACTTTCACCTGCTTTCAGGAACCCAAGGAAGTCATCAAGTCTCAGTGGTGTATTAATTGTAACTTCCAACTTGTTTGGGTGTTTACTTTCCAGATGTCATAACATAAATAAAACATACCTTTCTTCTTCCTTCCTCCTTCCGATCAAAAGCACATTGTTGTTTGCACTGTTCACAGGTCTGAGGTGGTCCATATTTTTTTTCTGAATTTGTACAACGCTGACACTTTGTACCAATAAACGCTGCAATTATGTTACAGTACTGACAAGGTTTAGGCTGAAAATAGATAATATATTTTCTTTAATTGAGACATTTATAAATATTAAAAACTTGCTCTATAAAACATACCTAGTGTACAGACATTTCTGGGATTAATTAAGGAAATTAATAGGTAAAAAAATTTTGTTAAGCATGCTACCCTGCTATATTCAGGGACATTTATCATGTTCCTATTTATTTACTAATTTTTATCTTGAGTCATGAAACTTTTTTAAGCATTAAATAAAATCATGAGAAATATGTTTATGATTTGCAGAGTTTGTTATATAATATAAACACTACATATGAAAAAGGTCTCACAATTAAAATAAAGGTACGCAGCAATGATAGAAAAGGTTCATGTATCCAGTATTTGGGGTAATGAACTTCTACTAATTTAATATCCTGGTTAGCTTAATTACTGTATCATTTATTCAAAAAACATCTAACAACTTTTCATCACATACAAGTTTAGATAAGATACGTATACTATAGGTGAGTTTTTAACTTAAAAAAAAATTGGCATTAAGCATATTCCACACAAACTATAACAAACATACCTTGACATTTTCTTTGACATTCAAGACAATTCACGATTTTATGAAGCCTTTAGGCCAGCATTCTGACTAGTCATGACTGTAACATAGCAATGACTATAATATACACGCAAGAAAAGAACTTGTAATAGTATAATGTTGTGAGTTTTGTGAATGCCTGAATTGTGCTCTTATATAAAACTGCTAAAAGTCTGAAGAGGGGGAAAAAGTGTAGTTATGCAAAGTTTATGGATTATTAGGCACTCTATAACCAGGAGTTTGTTATACTTGAATCTTTAAAGAACAAAATCATAAATTTCATAGTAAAATTTCAATGTACATAAAAATGACAATGTAACTGTTTTTAAATGCTGTCACCTTCCCATGAGACTGTCTACAGAAAACTTTTCCTGAAACATTTTGATATGTGGAAATATTTAAGAACATAGCAATACATATACATATTTTTTAGGAGAGCAAGGTACAGGCTTTTATTTAGAGATACAGTGAAAGGACAGAGCTCCCGGCTCACGCCAGGAGGGGACAAGAGAGTCCCAATACATATTTTTTTAAAAGGCTCAGATTAACTGACCAGTAACAACATGAAATGAAAATATGAGTCATACTTACTGTGCCAAATTGCTTCACATTTTGAGCACACTTCTTACAAATTGTATTAGTTTTGCTGAAAAGTAAATTGTATGAAGATGATCAAATTTACATAGCTTACTGAATTAGTACAATGTTGAATTAAAACGAATTGTCAAACAGTAGTATTCTTTTGCTTTAATAGTACTTAAAACTTATTCTAATACAGACCAAGGATTTAAAAAAAAAAAAAATAAGGCTCTTTTGAGGGTTATATATCATCCAAAGTTACTCCACTTTCACTAACTTACATGTTTTCATATTTTCATTGTGTATTTTTTGGTAAAAGATACAGAAGAAAAATATCCTGTTTCCTATCTAGTTCCAAAATCTTCATTTCACACTCGCCACTATTTACACACAGCATACCTAACCTTCCACTACACCTTCTCCCCTATTATGTTCCCATACTTACGAAGAAACTATTGTTCTCTTACTCTTATTCTCTGGCCTGTGCTCTGGTTTTCTAATAGGAGGAATTGCCCTATTAAAACTGCTTCCACAGGTAACAAGTTACTAGATTTCACTCTGGGAAGGTAATTGGTAACATTATACACCTTTCCTCTGGTGCACATCATCACTAACATTTTGACATTTTTAATAGCTTAATGGTAACTTTATATTTGCATTTTTCATTAGCAAGGCTGTACAGTTCCCATATAACAACTCATTCTTTATTTCCTCATGTTTAAACTGAAGGGTAGCTGTAAGATAACCATTAACTTTTCACCCACTACATATAAAAGGTTTACAACTTAAAATTTAAGAAGCTAAACCGTTTAAAAAAATTTTTTTAATACAAATATGGGATTACAATCCCCAAGTATTCCTTACAGACAGTACTTTGTCTTTAACAACCAAAAACTGTTAAGTATACAAACCTCTCCTGTTGAAATTCTGATCTGCAGTATGTACATTTTACAATAGGATGAGCAATCCGACATTCCTGTAATAAGACAATATGTTAGTGTCTATCTCAAGTTCCAAACTTCACTTTTCTGGTAGAAAATTATTACCCAACCTAGTCGAATGTCTAAAACATCACTAAAACCTATCCCCAAAAGTAGACAATTAGGTGATTTACAGTATAAACGGCCAATTACAGCATTATTCCTTAGGGAAGGCATAGGTGTCTTTGTCTTTATTAAACGTGAGGTGTATGCTACGCATAAACTAAGCTGTCAGGTTCGATTTCAAGGATTGGTTAAATGTTAAACACTTAATATTTTGCACCGTTGCTCACAGACAGCATCCCGGCTTTAACGGGATGGGAGGAGCTCCAAATCATAGAGCATTCTGTTCCCAGGCCAGTCGCTTCGCTTTTCTGGACAGGGAAGAAGGATGCCATCAGCTTTGCGGCTTCAGGTTCCTAGCAAGAAAGTGCAAAAACCGTCCCCTGCCTCCCGGTGGAAGGACAGGACAGACCAGGCAGAAGAAAATAGAGATGAAAACATCTCCACCCCAGGATCTCTGCGGCACAGACCGGCGGCTGCCTCAGTTCCACCCGAGACCCCTGAACCTTGTCGGGGCTCGACCCCGTCGTGCGCCACCTGGAAGAGGACGAGGTTGTCTTCACCTCAGGGGCCTGCCCCAGCTAATGCTCAGGCCCTCGGACCAAGGGGGTCCCCCTGGTGAGGAGCCGGAGCTCCAGACCCCGACAGCGCCGGTTGAGAGAGCGGGGTCACGGCCGAGCACACCCAGCCCGCCCGCCGCCCGGCGCCCACGGACCTTGCAGAGCTGCTGGCCCTGGGAGAGCTCCTCGAAGGGGTAGCGCTGGGTGCACTTGGTGCAGGCGTACAGGGCCGAGGCCGCCATCCTGCTCCGCGGGCTCCTCCGCCGCCGCCGCCACCGCCCGCTCCGAGGCGGGGCCCCGCGGGGAGCTCGGGCGCCGCCGCCACCGGGCCGTGGGCCCCTCCTCCCCACCCCTGCCTGGCGCCCTCCGGGGCCGCGCCGTCTCCCTCCGCCTCCGCGTTCCCCCCGGCCCACCCAACGATGCAGTCCCAGCCGCTCCCGCTCGCGGCCCGACAGCGGCGGAGGGAGACGAAACGGAGTTGGTTGCGATTTAGCTACGCGGCGCAGGATCCGCTTCCTCCTCGGCCTCCCTTCTCCGCCGATGATTGGCTGGAGAGGCCGCGCGTCACCTGTACTCCCCTCCCAGCTCCAGCCCGGCTGCGCACAGAGCGCCCACAAAGGGAGGCAGCGGCCGGCCAATAGCGGCACGGCGCTCTCGGCGCGCGAAGCCGGCCTTAAGCTGGCCCCGCCCCAGTTCCCTGCGGGCTGTTTCTGGCCTCCGGCCTCAGGTGTGGGTGCGAGCTGCCCGATCCAATTGGACAAGCGTCCGCGAAGGTTTGCCCGCTCCTACTTTTTTTTTCACTTGACTTGTATTGCGCCAATTACTAAGCTCCTCCTAATTCTATTTCTTATTGGCTGAAAAGTCAGTACTTCACCAAAGAGAGGCATCCTCGGGTCAAGCTCACGCTCTGGCGTTTTGTCCGAGGAAACGGATGGAGTGTTTGAACTTAGCATCTGTTTTTATTCTATTTCAATCATTCGCCTCAGCCGTTCCTGGAGACGACAAAGCCCCCCGCCAGCCGGATAATCCCTCAGGGCCGCCCGCCGCCCCACCGATTTCAGCGCCTGCCTCCCCGCTCCGCGCCGCCTTGTGACGTCACCAAGGAGGCGGATTCACGCCTACCGAAGACGTCCTCTTTTTTGATTCTGATTGGCTGTTCAGGACGTCCGTTAAGAAGTGTGGCCACTCTGCGAGTGCGCGCTGAGCGTGGGCGTCTCCGCAGGGGTGTACGGCAGGCTTTCGAGGCCAGGTACCAGTGCTCCGGCCCCTCCATCTGGGCTCACTCGGCTCGGCTCAGGGTCGCTGCTGGCGGACGGCGCTCTGCAATCTTGAGAGGTGCGAGAACCCGGCCCGTCCGAGGTTGCGTAGATCTGCTGCTCAGGCAGGAAGATGGCGGCTGCGTCTGTCTCTGCCACCTCTGGTTCTCAGTTCTCGGTAAGAAGCGGCTCGCGTTCGAGGAGGCCGCGGGTAGGTTCTATTGCCTCTGCGTCTCCTCGCCCTCCGCAGAGCTCTTGGCCGAGGGGGGAGCGGCGGGGGACGTCTATGGCTCCCGCTCTTCGGGCACGCCACTCCTCCCATTGGAACCGGCTTGGCTGGTCTCCGCCCCGCCGTCCCCTCCTCGCCTTCCGGCCTGGCTGTGCCGGCCACACGTTGCGGGGCCTCGACGGGCTGGCGGCGCCCGCACTGTGGTGGCGGGTACGCAGAGCCGCTGTGAGCACATGGGCCTAACGACCCTTCTTGGAAGCTGAGACCCGGTAGGGGCGCGCGGGCCGGCTTCCCAGGCAGCTAGCGAGTAGTCCGCGGTCCGGAGTGCAGGGTAGTCGATGCTAATACTGACGCCTTTTGCTTGCAGTGCCTCCTCATCCTCCTCGTAGCTTTGTTCTGGGCTTATCCTGTCCAGACCGCGCGCTTTCCACGTCGCCCTGTGACTGCGCCTTGTAAATGCCGTTTCAGAGAGGCAGGAGAGAAGCTGCCGTTTAATGTTTTCGCCTCCGCAAGGGCCTCCAGCCAGTTTAGTCACTAATACTTGGGGAATTGGGTTTTCGAAGGCTTAGCGTTTTAGGAATCGCCTCATTGGGAATTGACGGTAAATAGCAAATAAGAGGATGCTCAAGTTAGAATCATTCTCTCTTCATTTAGCAAATGCTGAGTGCTTGGCATACTTTTAGGCTCCAAAAATTACACAGACGAATAGGATAGAATCCCTGCTTTGAAGGAGCAAAGCACTGAAGAGAAACTACACATGATTAAATCATTATGCAGTGCAGTTTGGTAAATGCTACCGTACTGAAATATGAAATAACCTAGAGAGTGTTTAGCAGTGCCTGGTAGGCCAGAAGGGCAGGTGAACTAGCTGGGTGATGCCGGAGGAAAAAACACAACAGGCATTTGGGTATATGCTCCAAGACAGTAAGTGCTTTTAGGAAACCTGAAATAATTTGGAACGAGCAGAGGTAGTGTGGAGGTATAGTTGTATTAGATGGATTGTAGAAGTAGGTACTGTGATACTGGGATGAGGTCAATCCTTAGTCCTTAGGTAGCCTGGACAGAAATTCCATACAGTGTTTAATAGGAAACTGTACATATATTTATATACTAAGCTTAACTTTAAGTGGATTCTGAGTATCAAGAGTACATTAAGAATATCTAATATGCTACTAATCAAAGTTTAAAAACTTGAATTAACGTTACCTACTACTACAAATATCTAATTTGGAAGTCGCTCAAAACAAAAATGACTAAATTTAGTTGACGGTGTATAAGAAATAGCCCTGCTTGGACACTTAAGTTGCCCAGCCAGTTGAAGACTGGCATTTCCAACAATTTAAAAAGCACATCAGTTTTAAGAGCTAATCATAAAATGAGACAACACAAAAAGACCTATTTTAAAAGTACAACAGGAACTTAGAAGGCAATTCGTACGTATTACATGTTGACTGAGCTAGCTGTATTAAAGAGAGAATTGTATGAGACCAGGATTTTTAACAGGTGGATCATGAATAACAGTCTTTAGGAAGTGTTGTCATGGAAATCTCAAATGTGAACAAAGGAAGTAGATGATACATTTGAATTAAGTATTCTTTTGGTGAAGCAGCAGCCAAAAGAGTAACTAGAGCAGGTAACATTTATTGATTGCTGTTTGGCAACTCACTAGTGAGGAGCTTTAGGAAAACATCTATGATTGGGCGTAGCGATATTAAACAAAAAGTACAAGCAGCATAATGTTGAAACAAAAGAAAGTCTTTCCTGCTGGGCCTTTTTTATTTTCCCCAGTAACCATGGCCAACACGCTTATGTGACTTTGGACTTAATAACCAATCTCCTGACAGGTGTTTTTTAGCCAGGCCCTTTAACCAAGGTGCTCCATATTTAGTTCTCTTAAAAATGTTTTACGAATGTATCATAGATTTTTAAACATCGAGTATATGAAATACCTGTTTATGACAGTAGTAAAATGGACACCTTCATGCCCTTCTTGCGAATTCCATTTTCTTGGTTTCTCACATTCACATCCGCCGCTTTGAGATTGTGGTACATGCTTAGACTGTGCTGTCTGGTAGTCATTTGCAAAAGTGTAAAACAATGCCACTCTTTTCACTAAATTTTTGGGGTGATGTAGTTATTTTTCACCCAGAAATTACATTTATAACATTATGGGTTTATTGTCTTTAGATCAGTAAATATCTTTAAATTTTCTATTTTAATTTTTAATATGATAAATGTCAGTAGATACAACCCACATAAGCAGAAGCTCTGTGGGGTCTTCAGTAATTTTTAGGAGTTTAAAGGGGTCCTGGGACCAAAATATTTGAGAAGGGCAGCTCTAGAATAAAGATTTTTTCTAAACTGTAGGTTGGGGTATATGTGTTACAACTCAGTAGTGGGCTGTGGAATATGTTCAGTAACTCGGGACACATCACTTTCTAAAAGAAGAGGAGAAAGAGAAAATAATTGGGCAAATATACTATGTAATTGCTGGGTCATAGAATATGTGCACTTTGGCTGTGTTATATGGTAATGCTGAATTGTTCTCCAAAGCGACTGTACCATGTACATACTCACCAACAGTCCCTTTTAATCTGTATCCTCCTTAACAGATTGTATTGTCTTACTTAAATTTTTGCTGAACTGCAAGTGTGAAACGCTAATCTGTTCTTGTTCTTATTTGTACTTCCTGATTATTAGTAAAGATGTACTTTTTTCCATAACTTTATGAGTCTTATGTGTTTTTTTTTCTTTCTGTGAAATGCCTCGTTGTGTCTTTTGCCTGTTTTCAACTGGTGTGTTTTATTTACTGTTAGTCATTCTGTTTTCTGGATGTTAATCCCTATCTCCAAGAAATATTCTATATACTTTTTGGCTTGTTATTATATGTTATCTTTTGACTAACAGGAGTTCTTAATTTTAATGTAAAATTTATGAGTCTTTCCTTTTTATCATTAGTGCTTTATGCTTAAATTCTTATAGCCAAGAACTTAATTATGTTCTATATTTTTCTCTATAAATTTTAAAGTTGGGGCCTTTAGTCCTTCATTTGGTTGAAATTAATTTTGGTGCTCTGATACACAATTGTTCCAGCATTACTTATAGAAAACTTATCCTTTTCCCAATGGTTTGCAATTCTACCTGCCAATATATTAATGTCATATGTGAATTAGTGTGTTATTGTGCTCTTTGTTCTATTGTTGTCTTTGTCTCCCTAAGTCTGTACTCAGTGTCATAGTGGTTCTTCTTTTTATTTGTCTGAGAAGGCAACTATGTGCCTTGTTCTTCTGTTCTTCAAGAGAAATGTTAACCTACTTTAAGTTCCTTTGCTAGTTTTCAATAGAAATTCTAGAATCTGCTATTGGAATTTTGATTGAAATTGTGTTGACTTTCTAATTCAATTTGGATAGTAAGTGGTGTCTTCAGAATATTGAACCTTCTATCTAAACATGCTATGTTGCTGCAGGTTTTTCTAACTTTACTATTTTTTAGTAAAGTTTTATAATTTCACATCTTGTCCATCATTTCTTACATGTATTTCTAGTTACATTTTTTATGTTTTCATAAATTGCAGTTTCTAACTTCTATATAAAATCTCTGATGCATCCATAGTAATTTGGTTCAGCAACTTTCCTAAACTTAATTCTAGTGATTGAGAATTCTTTGGTGTTTTCTATTTAGACGATCATAAACTGTGAAGTTTGAATTCTACCTTTTCAGTCTTAACATCTGTTATTTTCATTATCTTACTGTTCAGATTAGGAAATGCAGCACAGTATTGGCCAGAAGTTGACTTATAGACAACTTTGCCTTGTTTCTGAATTTAAAAGGAATATTTTAGATTTTGACGATTCAATATGCTGCCATGGTCTTTTGTCTATTTTCCTTTTATATATATATATATTTTTTCTTTTGGTATCATTAATCTACAATTACTTGAGAGACATTAGGTTACTAGACTCCTCCTATCATCAAGTCCCCACCACATACCCGTTCACAGTCACTGTCCATCAGCATAGTAAGATGCTGTAGAATCACTACTTGTCATCTCAGTCTTGTACAGCCCTCCCTGTGCCCCGACCCCCTACATTATGTGTGCTAATCATAATGCCCTTTGACCCCCCCCCCTTGTCCCTCCCTCCCCACCCATCCTCCCCAGTCCCTTTCCCTTTGGTAACTGTTAGTCCATTCTTGGGTTCTGTGACTCTGCTGCTGTTTTGCTTCTTCAGTTTTTCTCTTTGTTCTTATACTCCACATATGAGTGAAATCATTTGATACTTGGCTTTTTCCACCTGGCTTATTTCACTGAGCATAATACCCTCTAGCTCCATCCATGTTGTTGCAAATGGTAGGATTTGTTTTCTTCTTATGGCTGAATAATATTCCATTGTATATATGTACCACATCTTCTTTATCCATTCATCTACTGATGGACACTTAGGTTGCTTCCATTTCTTGGCTATTGTAAATAGTGTTGCGATAACATAGGGGTGCATCTGTCTTTTTCAAACTGGGCTGCTGCATTCTTAGGGTAAATTCCTAGGAGTGGAATTCCTGGGTCAAATGGTATTTCTATTTTGAGCTTTTTGAGGAACCTCCATACTGCTTTCCACAATGGTTGAACTAATTTACATTCCCACCAGCAAGTGTAGAAGGGTTCCCTTTTCTCCACATCCTCGATAGCATTTGTTGTTGCCTTTTGGATGGTGGCCATCCTTACTGCTGTGAGGTGATGTCTCACTGTGGTTTAAATTTGCATTTCTCTGATGATTAGTGATGTGGAGCATCTTTTCATGTGCCTGTTGGCCATCTGAATTTCTTCTTTGGAGAAGTGTCTCTTCAGATCCTTTGCACATTTCTTAATTGGATTATTTGCTTTTTGTTTGTTGAGGTGCATGAGCTCTTTATATATTTTGGATGTCAATCCTTTATCGGATATGTCATTTATG